AAGAGTAAGACTGTATTTTGCCTTATTATGCAATTACCTCTAGATACTCTATGCAAACGCATGTAAAACAGGACAAAAATATTTTTAAAAATAAAAGTAAAATAAGTTATAGTAGAGTTTGATTTTGTTTTAGCATATTATTTGTATTGTTTCTGGTTCCAAGATGGCAACCCCCCTCCTGCTCTCAAAAGGAGTATACTTCCAGGACAAGGGGAGGGATATCCAGTGGCAAAGGTCAGGGGTTAAGGGGCAGGACTTCAGTCCCAAGAAGGCAACCAGGGGGTGGGGCATCTGCCAAGGGGCAGGGCTACCCTTGCAGCCCTTGACAGCTCACCAGACTCTAGCCAACTCCAGCCAACACTCCATTAAGCACTCCAGCCAAAACTCCAGCCAACATAATTGCCCACCCCTGGTGTAGATCCTACTCTGGTTGGCTGCGGCATGAGGGCCATCAGTGTGGGGTTTGGCTGCCAGCTACCACTGCACTGAATCACCCTCATGTCCCTGCCAGCCCCTCCTCAACATGTTGAACCAGGGGGAGCAGCCCCAGGCTGGCAAGCTGACATCCTGTTTCCCCTGCCAACTGGGGAAACTTAGATCCAGCTCAACGTGCTGTGATCCTGAGTGCATGTGAAGGCATGGCACCCAGGAGCAATAAACTTAGGGGCAGTAAGCTCTGGAGTTAATTCATGTGCATTAATATGCACGTGTAGACATGCCCACTATGGAGTACATTTATTACAGGGAAAAATCTGAGGTGAATTATTCAGTAGTAATTGTGTCATGTATCCACACTTGGAAATTAGATCTAGTTCATCATCATCATGAAAGTTTAGGCCTAAATTTCATCATCTTCTCCATGAGAGAATTTGGAGAAAGACCTGAATATCTCCGCTGGAAAAGAAATTGGTGGTTCATTTTTGGGTTTTGGAGTAGAGAGCATGTAAGAGTACACAATTTTTTGAATTTCTGTCTTGCAGGAGGGCTGCCTTCATGAGCTGGTGTCATTCAAAATGAACCATATGACCAGGATGACCTTATGCATGTTAGATCACAGGAACTTGCTGTCCATAAAGGAAATCTTGAACTGCTTCCCCGCAACCAAGCTGGTAAGTGCAGCATCAGCATTCTCTGAGGGTATCCCCAATGCTTTGGATGCAAAATGAGCAATGGTTATGGTTTAACTAGTCTGAGAGCAGGAGGCATGTGTGTATTGGGGGGTTGGACTCACAAGGGATCATTTAATGTAAAGGACAATGGACTTGTTAAACCTGTCAGGCTTTATGGGTAAAACATTCCAAAATAACTAGGTGACTGAGTAGACAAAGTGCTGTTGGCAACTTGGGGCATTTGTAGATGACACATTAAAGTGGATTAAATCCCCTTTTGCATCGCTTTAAGGGTTAAATCCCCTTTTGCATCGCTTTAATGGTGTTGCTGTTTGCACGAGTTTGCAAATTCAGCGGCTTATTGTGCGTTAATTCCAGTTACTGTAGCAAATTTGGCAGCATAATGCATCTTAAATGACTCTGGGGCACAGCAAATGACTTTGGGGCACAGCAAACTAAAACACCTCTGAGGAGTTTTAGTTTGCTACTTTACAGCCATGGAGGGATTCACTGGGCTCCATGCAGCTCAGGAGCTGTGCCGACAGCCCCAGCAGGCAGCCTGGCAGCAGCCCATGAAGGCAGGCTGCGCTGAAGAAAAAAAAAGTGGCAAGCCTGAACTTTTTTTTTAAATATTCCCTGGAGCCTGCCTGGTGCTGCACGGGGGCCCGGTGTTTCCCTCTGCAGTTGCGGTGTACCCTGGGACTGCCCGAGCCGGGTGCCTGCGGGTGGGTGCAGCCTTGGGCTGGGGTGGGGGGTGTGTACAGCTGCCACAGAGGGAAGCACCAGCCCTCTCCCCACAGCTCAGGGACTGCTCAGCCCACTGGCAGCTTGCTCTCCCCTCCCCACTGCCGCAGAGGCAGGTAAGAATACAGGTGTACAAGACGCAGGGTTTTACTTCGCCCTAAATTGCTTACTTCACTTCAGTTTAACCCCCCGTGTCATCTACAAATGCCCCTGGGTTTCAAGTCAATACAGTTCTGAATACAGTTGTACCTAGGGTTTTGGTTTTGAGAATCTGCATAGATACATCAGAGACACAGGGACATCAGAATTTTCAAGATAACCTTAAAATAGCAATTTTAGACAGGTAAATAGCAGAGCTGAGAAAGGGAAGTTCTTTACCTGCAGTAAAAGAGTGGCTTAATTTTTCTGAGGAGAAAAAATACAGTCCCTTGGTGGAGCTCCACCTTCTTTCCTACCAGAAGAGCAAAATGACCCCACTGTGGATTGTGTGGAAGGGTACCTGTTGGAAGGATGTATGGCAAATAGTTAAATGCAATCACTTAGCAACAAACAAAGCTGGATAGGAGGAGACAAAATTAGGAGGATGAGAACTGAACTAGAAGATTAAAGAAGTCAAGGGGAATCCTGCAGGTTTCATGGAATCATACAAAAGTAGGGCTGGAAGGGACCTCCGGAAGTCAGCTAGTTCAAGCCCCTGCCTAAAGCAGGATCATCCCTATCCAAACCATCCCATGCAAATTCTTGTCTAACCTATTACTAAAACTACACAATCGACCCTGTTGCATAACTAGAAGGCATAGCACCCTAACCTGCCAAAGGTAAAGCAGGGGGAGAACGGTGATCAGTTTCAGGGTTGTTTAAAGACATACAAAAAACTAGAACTCTTGGTTCCAAAATGATACCTCTTTATAAGGTATACCTTTCATTAGGGTTGTTTAAATGCACTTGAGAGATTCAAGGGAGAGGGCCATGTCCCCTGATACAGAGGACTGCAACCCCCTGCCCCCCCAGTCTGTACCAATCTGACCATGAGATAAAATTCCTTCCTGAACCTTAGTATTGTGATCATTCTAAGCCTGAGTGAAGGTGCAAGACCCTCTAGCCAAGAACCTCCAGGCTTTACTCTCAGCAGGGCATAGGTATTCTACAGTCAAAACCCACAGCCTTGGTTTCAGCCAACCCCCAATTCTTCTGAGGGAGGAAAAAAAAAAAGAAAATGGATACATGTAGCAACAGAAAGGGGGAAAATTCCTTCCAGGCCTCCAGGGGCAAATAGCAAAGATCAGAAGTATGGGAAATACTAAACACCCTCTATTCTTCTCAACAGCCCGGAGACATCAAGCATAACTCCACGTACATCACACACACTTGCTGGAGAGCCAGAACTCTTCTTTCTGTATCTTCTCCAAAATTTTATCCCAGATCCTTTAATCTCCTTTCTAACTAACACAGTTAGGAAGCTCTGCTTCATTTTTCTGCTGCTGAGTATGGTATCTTCAGTATCCACCTGCTTTAAGCTGCAGAGCTCTTCTCATTATCTCCTAGCAATCTCTGTGTGTGGGAAGGAGCTTCTGGGCTTCTAACTGTTGGTCTTGACAGAGCACGCCAGACACAGCTACTTCTAGATCATCCCTGAGCAATGCTAACCCAGCCTCTTCTTGAAGGTGTCCAAGGATGGCGAGTCCACAGCTCCCCAAGGCAGTCTATTCCACTGCCTCACCGTTCTGACGGTGAACTTGTTCTTGATACCTAATCTAAACTGCAACGTTTAAGATATTTGTCCATATCCTGTTCACTGCAGCCACAGGGAAAAGGTGTTCTTCCTCTTCTTTATGGCAGCACTTCAGATATTTCAGAGACTGCTATCATGTCTCTAAATTGCTTTTTCCACAAATTGAACATGCCTATTTCTTTCAGCATTTCCTCATTTGACTTGCCTTCTAAATCCTTCAGTTTTTTGTCACCTGCTTCTGGACCCTTCCTAACTTCTCCATGTCCTTTTTAAAATATAGAGCCCAAAGGGAATATATTTATATTTATAGTGGGAAATTCATAATGCAACAAACTAGCTGCATTAAGCGGCTTAGATTACCTTATTCATTATTTTAATATTTAAAGAAATAATTCTCTTTCATGGTAAATGGTATGAGCCTTATGACAATAGTGTATTTGCTCAAATCTAAGATGAGGTCCCCTCAAGCAGCACAAGGGAAAAAGCCCCTTTGTCTTAGATTTGCATAAAAGAGGAGGGGGAGGGGCTGGTGGCTGCTGAGGCTCTGGCTCTGGCCTTTTTATGCTGTGGAGAGTGGGGCTGAGAGGCTGCAGGTAGTGGTGGGGCTGAAAAGCTGCTGGGGGGAGAGATGGGGGAGCAAGGGGCAAGGAGGTTACCTGGCTTCCCCAGCCACTGTTCTCCCTGCTGTAGCAGTGTGGGGAGAGGGAAAATTGAAGACAACTCTCCAATAATTAAATTCTGTGCCTGGAAAATTATAACAAATTTATAAATTTTCCATGTATAGAATCTAATTATTGGGGGTGTCGTCTTAAATTCAGGGTCATCTTAGATTCAAGTAAATACAGTAAGTGAAATGTTATTGTATAATCGCACAGTATTCTTGAGGAAACAGGTCTGGATGGAGGATGAAAGCTCCCAAATTAACAGCTTTGTGTGTGTGTGTGCTGTTGTTGTGGTTTTTAGTGAAGGATTTTTTTGTGTTTGTTTTGTTATTTTATTTTGCTGAAAGCACCATGATCTTATTTTATTATGATATCTATGAACTTTATGGATTAAATTTCTCATCTAAGTTATTTGTTCACTGTTTCCCGCTGAGCATTTGACCAAAATATAGTTCTCTCTCAATCTGAATCTCTACATATCAATTAGTGCTTTTTTTTAAATGTAATGTTCTGAAGGAAAGCCTTTATCATTCCACTCCTAGTTGAGATGTGGCTAAACCAGTGGATAGTGATCTGAACACTAACTGATGCAGACACAGCTTCTTCAATATTTGAGAACGTTTTTGGTTTTGTTTAGCTCTTTCTGGGTTCCATATACTCCCTTGGTGATGATATAGTGAAACTTCCAAATGTTTCCCATCCAACCTGACAACACAAATAGCTCCTATGGCACATACTGAATTCACTACATTACTAGTGACTCCTCCCTCCCCCACCCCTGAGTCATTTTGGTTTGACAAGAGTTTTCTTTCCCAAAGGTTATGCAGCATTTTTTCTGGTAGGTATGAGTCAGCTTCTTCTTTAGTGGCTGAAATGATCATAGAATCATAGACGTAGGTTGGAAGGGACCTTGTAGATCTTCAGGTCCGACCCCCCGCCTGGCAGGAGAAAAGACTGGACTCAAATGAGTCCAGCCAGGTAGTCATCAAGCCTCTTCTTAAAGATCCCCACGGTAGGAGCCAGCACCACTTCCCTAGGAAGTTGGTTCCAGCTCCTAGCCACCCTAACTGTGAAGTAGTTCTTGCGGATGTCTAATCTAAATCTACTCTCTAATAATTTGTGTCCATTGTTCCTTGTCATGCCAGGGGGTGCTAGGGGAAACAGTGTCTCCCCTAAACCCTTCTGGTCCCCCCTAGTGAGTTTATAGACAGTCACCAGGTCCCCCCTCAGCCTTCTCTTGTGAAGGCTGAACAGGTTCAGGTCCCGCAGCCTTTCAATGTAGGGTCTGCCCTGTAGTCCCCGGATCATGCGGGTGGCCCTCCTCTGGACCCTTTCAATGTTGTCCACATCCCTCCTGAAATGGAGCGCACAGAACTGGACGCAGGACTCCAGCTGTGGCCCGACCAGTGTTGCATAGAGGGGGAGGATCACCTCCTTGGCCCTACTTGAGATGCACTTGTGGATGCACGACAAGGTCCAGTTAGACCTGCCAACCGTGACCTCGCATTGTCGGCCCATGTTCATCTTGGAGTCA